TTTTTTTTTAATACATAATTTTTGTGTATGCCTTCAATTAGTAAAAAAATCTGACCACAAGTCCGCTAGTTATGTTTTGCTTGGTATTTCTTAAATGACAGAACAATTATTACTGCCTTCTCCCTTTTATCTGACCAAAGAAACTGATGCCATTGATTTGCAACTGCAGATGTCTGTTGAAGAAATTCACGTTATCAATATTAGCATCACTTCACTGGTGCTTAATCAGCGTGCAAGTATATTTTATGGGATTCAGATTGTTTTTGTTGCACTTAATCTTCATTGTCTTTACAACTTTTAGGCAATGTAGAAGATTGATGCAATTATATAATGAAATAATATAATTTGAAATTATATAATGATGAAATTATATAATTTTTAATAATATTATTTGCGAAAAATACTGTTTGTCTTATTTTCTGTATAATAGCTATGTAAAAAAAATGAAACTTTGGAATTATATAATTTTATTGTAGATGTAGTTGATGAACACCAAAACCACTCCTGATTCTCAGAATTTATCGAAAAATTCATCATTTTTCTACCCCTATTGCTGTTTGAAGATAAAATTTGAACTGGAAATAAATAATTTGTAGTACCTGTTTTCCATCATTATGTCGCTCTGTGAATGAAATTCCATATATCTTGAGTGAAACCATGGAGGGATTCAAACTTAATCTGTTTTCTGGTCTGTAATGATTTAGTCATTGGGTTTTCGTACCAGTATTATCAGACATGTTTTAAAGTATCTTGACTGTTTGGCGTAGGTGAAGCTTTAACTGCTCCTGAACAAATTTCTTTTTGAAAATTCAAATTGTACAAGCAGTACAATGCTTGGAACTGCCGCTTCGTCGAGAAATGTGCCTTTAAAAGCGGTGTCGTCGGGAGTAACAAAGAGGAATGATCTCACTTCTTGGCTCATACCAAATATTGCTAAGAAGGAACAGAAGGCATCTCCTTGCGAGAATTCCTCAGGTCAGTCATTCAGTCTAGACACGCCGTACTCTGTAACAGTTGGTGTCAGTATTTTCTAAAAGGAGCTAAGTCGTTGGTTGTGGTTTGTCAACGTTTTTTTAAATATATTAGAAGCATAAGACATCATCAGTGTTCAGAATCCGTGTTATCAGAATCGGCAAAGCACTTGCGAAGTTTATTGGAAGATGTTGGATGGAGAAAGGTTCTTATGGTCGAGTTTAAGAAAGATTATATGGACAGAATTTGGAAGTTCTTGCAGATGGAAAAGCAAAAGGTGGCATTTTAGTGATGTAAAATTAGAGATATTAAAATACCAAGTACGAGTGATTATTAGGCTTATCCTTTTCTAGTTTTTTTCTGACACTTATTTTGTTTTAAATTAATTTCCAGGGAATCAAAGTTTTACCTCCTGAGCATCAAATTTTCCATGCCTTCAACCTCACTCCTTTGCATCAAATTCGAGTAGTAATTATTGGTCAAGATCCTTATCACGGTGAAAATCAGGTAATTTTCTAGTTTAATATGTTCATTCAAGAAAAAGCTGATTATGTTTTCAGGCGCATGGGCTTTGCTTCTCAGTTTCTAAAGGTGTGAAACCTCCACCATCTCTTGTAAACATATATAAGGTAATTGTTTGTTTGTAATATGTTTCGCACACAACAGCTTTGAAATTTCTGTTTTTCATTTGAAGGAAATTTTAAGGAACTTAAAGTGGATATTCCAAAATTCAAAATTCCCGATCATGGGTGTCTTGAATCGTGGGCTCGTCAAGGTGTTTTTCTACTGAATGCTACACTTACCGTCCAGTATGTCATTTAAATTTGTTTTTAATGATAAATTATCTAGCATAACTTCAGGTTTAGTACTACTATTCACTCACCTTCACTGTTTTTTAAACTTTCATGTTATGATTCATTCCTCTTATTGAGATTTAAATTTTTTAATGTTTACCATAAGTGCTATTTACTTACTTGGTAAACAGTATAATACATGTAGCTGCTGTAATCATTCGCTGAGGAATATAATTTTGAAATCTTGATAATTAACCAGACGTATTATTCTTAAGTTTACTGCTATTATTATCAGTAAGTTAAGATGAAGTTTATGCAATTGATGCAGGCTGTTTATGTTTGTCATAATTTGTTGCTCAGTTTCATTTCATTTTTGAGAGATTTTAAGAGCCCACCGAGCAAATTCACACAGCCATATCGGTTGGCAAAAATTCACTGACGAAGTTATTCGCATCATCTCTCGGGATTGTGATGGAGTTGTTTTTTTACTTTGGGGCGGGTTTGCTCATAAGAAGGAGCACATAATTGATAAAAAAAAGCACACTATTATCAAGGTGATTGATTGCTTTACTTGGCAGAATTTTCTTTTACTTGATTTGATTTCAAGACTCCACGCTATAATTGTTATTTTGCAAAAGCTTTTGTGGATTTCGGCATTCGTCTTAAAATATTTGTGAGATATTCGTAATTTTTTTGCAGACTGCGCACCCATCTCCACTTAGTGCGTCCATGTTCTTCGGATGCAAGTGCTTTTCGAAAGCGAATGAAGCTCTTATCAAACGTGGACGACCAATCATCGACTGGTGTGCGTTTTGAAAAATCACCCCTGTTGTTTTGTAATTTCTCGTTATCCTCGTTGCTATTTGAGCTGAGACTTTTATCAATAGTTGTTTTTGCAATTGTTCATGCTTATCACTTAATTAGTATCTCTGTTTATGCAGATCTCACCACAATTTTGCCCTTCAGTTTGCCCTTACTGTTATCGAACTGTATATACATTTGATTGGTCGAAAAGATTTACACGATGTTATGATACGAAGTTTTTTGCATTTTTTCGATAGCATACCAGAGTATTTTTTGTTATTCTACGTTATGCAAACCAGATAAATCATGCTTTTGGGTTAATGAGCATAAGATGAGTGATGCTTTATTTTTCTCGCAAAATAATCACACACTTTAATGAAGTGAATACAGTCGCTGATGCATTACATTATACGTGGAGGTTACGAGTGTTGCGATATAAAACTTACAAAAGTAGGCAACGAGTGCTATAGGAGAACTATTTTGGTAAGGGACCATTTTACACAGAGAAATTATAGTGTGGTAGTTATTTTGCTGAATGACTGTATTCAATGTGGAAGACACAAGTTGAGTACGAACGTTTGGTAATTTTTTTATCGTACAGCGAAGTAAGTTGAGGTTGTGCCAGGGGCACCGCCGCCACTAGTGGTTGGTGTGAAATACGCAGATACGCCGGGTTTTGTCGAGGCAACACCAGCTGCTGCGAAAGACTTGACACCACTGCTACCACCGCCACCACCACCGATACCGAAATACGTTGAGGTGCAACCACCACCGCCACCACCTAACAAAAATATAGATGCAGTGCAAGACTTATGCCGACGTGTAAGAGCACTGAACTGAAATAAGTAATAGACACAAAAGAAGACCTCCAACACCAAAGTAAGTAGACGTTACTCCTCCTCCGCCAGATGCTGCTGGTGTATATCCACCCACTGATCGTGCCGCTGAAAATTAATTACGTAAACTTCTGTTTGGTGAACTAGCAATCTTTGCTTTTCTCTACTGTATAGGGAAAAGTTTCCAGTTGTTACCGGATGGAGCTCCGATAGCTGTCTTGGTCGGATCTACGGCGCCAATAGCAGTTCTTGTTGGATCCACGGCGCCAATAGCAGTTCTTGTTGGATCCACGGCACCAATCGCTGTTCTTGTCGGATCCACGGCACCGATTGCTGTTCTTGTTGGG